AAGCAGAGGACCGCATCAGTGAGCTAGAAGATAAGATGGAAAAATATACCCAAGTAGAGCAACTTCTAGAAAAAAAGATTAAAAAGCAGGAGGAGAGCCTACGGGAGCTTTGGGACAATACAAAACAAAACAATATTCGAATAATAGGGGTTCCAGAAGGAAAGGAAACTGAGGTAGACATGGAAAAAGTATTTCAAGAAATAATGACAGAAAACTTTCCTGAAATAGAGAAGAAAAAATCCACACAAATCCAAGATGCTCGCAGAGTCCCAAGCAAAATGAATCCCAGAAAACAGACTCCAAGGCATATTATAATTAAATTGGCAAACAACAACGACAAAGGAAGAATCTTAAAAGCAGCCAGAGAGAGACAGAAAGTTACATACAAAGGAACCCCCATCAGACTAGCAACTGATTTCTCAACGGAAACTTATCAGGCCAGAAGGGAATGGGATGAAATATACAAAGTCATGCAAAGAAAGGGTCTGAATCCAAGAATACTGTACCCAGCAAGGCTATCAATCAAAATTGAAGGGGAAATCAGGAGCTTCACAGACAAAAAAAGACTGAAGGAATTTATCTCCACCAAACCAGCAATGCAAGAAATGCTAAGGGGTCTACTGTAAAAATAAAGAAATATTAAGTGAAGAGGGAACATGGGTATAGATTAAAAATGGCGTCAAATGAGTACCTATCATTAATAACTTTAAATGTAAATGGTTTAAATGCTCCAATAAAAAGACATAGGGTAACAGATTGGATAAGGAAACAAGACCCATACATCTGTTGTCTACAAGAAACCCACCTCAGAAAAAAAGATGCACACAGACTGAGGGTGAAGGGATGGAAAAAAGTTTTCCAGGCAAATGGAAATGAAAAAAAAGCTGGGGTAGCAATACTTATATCTGACAAATTAGATCTCAGATTGAAGGACATAATAAGAGATAATGAAGGCCACTTCATAATACTAAAGGGAACAATCCAACAAGAAGAAATTACCCTGGTAAATATATATGCACCCAATACAGGAGCAACCAAATACATAAAAAAACTGCTGGAGGACATTAAGGGAGAGATTCATAGCAATACAATCATAGTAGGAGATTTTAATACCCCTCTGTCACCCTTCGACAAATCATCTAAACAAAAAATCAGCAAAGAAATATCAATCCTAAATGACTCACTAGACCAGATGGAATTAATTGACATCTTCAGAACACTCCACCCCAAAGCCGCAGAATATACATTCTTCTCAAGTGCACATGGGACATTCTCAAAGATAGACCACATTTTGGGACATAGGCAAAGTCTCTTCAAATTTAAGAAGATAGAAATCGTATCAAGTATCTTCTCAGACCATAATGGCATAAAACTGGAAATTAACTACAATAAAAATAATCCAAAGAAATCAAACACATGGAGATTAAACAGCATGCTATTAAACAAGGACTGGGTTACCAGAGAAATCAAGGAAGAAATTAAAAACATCCTGGCAACAAATGACAATGAATACACAACAATCCAAAATCTATGGGACACAGCAAAAGCAGTTTTGAGAGGGAAGTTCATATCCTTACAAGCCTATTGCAAAAAACTAGAAAAAAGGGTAACAGATGATCTAACTCTACAACTCAAAGAATTAGAAAAGGAGCAACAAGAAAAGCCCAGTGTAAGCAGAAGGAAGGAAATAACAAAAATCAGAGCACAGATAAACGACATAGAGACCAAAAAAACAATACATAAGATCAACAAAACCAAGAGCTGGTTTTTTGAAAGAATAAACAAGATAGATGAACCTCTAGCCAGACTAACCAAGAAACAAAGAGAGAGGACCCAAATAAACAAAATCAGAAATGAAAGAGGTGAAATAACAACAGACCCCACCGAAATACAACAGATTGTTACAAAATACTACGAACAACTCTATTCCAACAAACTGAACAACCTGGACGAAATGGACATATTCCTAGAAAAATACAACCTTCCAAAACTCAATCAGGAAGAATCTAAAAATCTCAATAGACCAGTGACTTGGGAAGAAATTGAAACAGTCATCAAAAAGCTTCCAGCAAACAAAAGCCCAGGGCCTGATGGCTTCACAGGAGAGTTTTACCAAACATTCAAGGAAGAACTAAAACCTTTCCTCCTCAGACTATTCCAAAAAATCCAAGAGGAAGGAACACTTCCAAACTCCTTCTATGAAGCCAGCATCACCCTAATACCAAAACCAGATAAAGACAACTCAATGAAAGAGAATTACAGGCCAATATCCCTCATGAACATAGATGCCAAAATCCTCAACAAAATTCTAGCAAATAGACTCCAGATGAACATCACAAAGATCATACACCATGACCAAGTAGGATTTATTCCAGGAATGCAAGGATGGTACAATATCCGCAAATCAATAAACGTGATACATCACATAAACAAACTGAAAGATAAAAATCATATAGTCATATCAATTGATGCAGAAAAAGCATTTGATAAAATCCAGCACCCTTTCCTGATAAAAACTCTTAACAAGGTGGGAGTACAAGGATCATACCTCAACATAATAAAAGCTATATATGATAAACCCACAGCCAGCATTATACTCAATGGGCAAAAACTAAAACCATTCCCTCTAAGAACAGGAACAAGACAGGGATGCCCACTCTCGCCACTCCTGTTTGACATAGTACTGGAAGTACTAGCCATTGCAATTAGACAAGAGGAGGAAATAAAAGGCATCCAAATTGGAAAAGAAGTAGTAAAGTTATCCTTATTTGCAGATGATATGATATTATACATAAAAAACCCAAAAGACTCCATTAAAAAACTAATTGACTTAATAAATGAATTTGGCAATGTAGCAGGATACAAAATTAATGCCAAGAAATCCACGGCATTTCTATACACCAACAGCGAAACTATAGAAACAGAGATTAAAAAAGCAATTCCATTTACCATCGCACCAAAAAAATTAAGATACCTAGGAATAAATTTAACTAAGGAAGTAAAGGACCTATATGCAGAAAACTACATGACACTGAAAAAAGAGATAGAGGAAGATGTAAAGAGATGGAAGAATATACCATGTTCATGGATCGGTAGAATCAACATCATCAAAATGTCCATACTTCCTAAAGCAATCTATAGGTTCAATGCACTCCCCATTAAAATACCAACGGCATATTTCACCGACCTAGAAAGAACTCTCCAAAAGTTCATTTGGAACAATAAAAGACCCCGAATAGCCACAGCAATCCTGAGAAAGAAGGGTAAAGTAGGAGGGATCTCAATACCAGACTTCAAACTGTATTACAAAGCCACTGTTCTCAAAACAGCCTGGTACTGGCACAAGAACAGACATATAGATCAATGGAATAGAATCGAGAACCCAGATATCAACCCAAATCACTATGCTCAATTAATATTTGACAAAGGAGGCACGAATATACAATGGAGTCAAGACAGTTTCTTCAATAAATGGTGTTGGGAAAATTGGGCAGACACATGCAAAAGAATGAAACTAGATCACCAACTTACACCATACACAAAAATAAACTCAAAATGGATACAGGACTTAAACATCAGACGGGAAACCATAAAAATACTAGAAGCATCCACGGGCAGCAAAATCTCAGACGTATGCCAAAAGAACTTCTTCACTGATACTGCCCCTAGGGCAATGGAAGCTAAAGAGAAAATAAACAAATGGGACTACATCAAAATAAAAAGTTTTTTTACAGCAAAAGAAACCATCAACAAAACAACAAGAAAGCCCACGGTATGGGAGAATATATTTGCAAATAATACCACGGATAAAGGTTTAATCTCCAACATCTACAGACAGCTGATACAACTAAATAAAAGGAAGATGAATGATCCAATTAAAAAATGGGCAATGGACCTAAATAGAATATTTACAAAAGAAGACAGAAAGAAGGCCAAAAGGCACATGAAAACATGCTCAAAGTCACTAATTATCCGAGAGATGCAAATCAAAACAACAATGCGGTACCATCTCACACCCGTCAGAATGGCCAACATCAACAAATCAACAAATGACAAGTGTTGGCGAGGTTGCGGAGAAAAAGGAACCCTTGTGCACTGCTGGTGGGAATGCAGACTGGTGCAACCACTGTGGAGAACAGTGTGGAGTTTCCTCAAAAAACTGAGAATGGAACTCCCATTTGACCCAGTAATCCCACTTCTAGGAATATATCCCAAGAAACTAGAAACACCAATCAGAAAGGATATATGCACCCCTATGTTCATAGCAGCACAATCTACAATAGCCAGAATCTGGAAACAGCCTAGGTGCCTGTCAGCTGATGATTGGATCCAAAAACTTTGGTACATCTACACAATGGAATACTATGCTGCCATAAAAAAGAAGGAATTCTCATCATTTGCAGCAACCTGGATGGAATTGGAGAACATCATGCTGAGTGAAATAAGCCAATCAATGAAAGAGAAACACCACATGACCCCACTCATTTGTGGATAATAAAGATCATTATAAACTGATGAACCAAAAGATAGATATAGAGACAGTAAAGCAACAAGCAGATTGTCAAATTACAACGGGGAGTGGAGGAGAGTCTGGGGGAGACAATAAATCAACCCAAGGACTTGTATACATGCATATAAGTACAACCAATGGACATAAAACTCTGGGGAGGGAGGGGATACGTGGAAGGGAAGGAGGGGGGCAAAAAAAAAAATCAATAAAATATGTAAAATAAAAAAAAAATAAAAAAAAAATAAAACGAAAAAAAAAATAATAAAAAATAAAAAAAATAAAAAAAGAGAAAAGAATGCAATATTTAAAGCTTTACATGCGAGAAGAATTAAGTTTTTATTGCCCTTATCAATAAGGCTAATCTTATGAACCAAGAAATCAACCCCAAATTCTAATTCTATAATCACTCCCCTCAAAATCCACCCACCTTATATTATCCCAACTGCATGGACAAATCATTTGTGCCACCCAGCACATATAACCTGTATACCTGTTTGGAAGGTAGGATTTGCTCCAGGGTACATGTTGGAGGAGTAGGCAGGAGCTGCTGCTGCATAGCTCATGGGGAAACCAGCTGGAGAAAAACACACAGAATACTCTGATGTTATCACTTGAAGGAGTAACATAATTTTACAACCAGAGTGGCCCACAGACACAGTCATTCTTACCTTCTTCATCAGAACTCCAGACCAACTTAGGCAGCCAACAATACTATTTAACCTGAGCATTTTGTTTCTAGTTGTCTCCTTTCCTCAGAATTGTGATGTGTCAAATTCCTAATCATTTCAAACCTATGAGTAAATGTTTACAACTTTTTCCCTGGCTGGTGTGGCTCAGCTAGTAAAGTGTCACTCTGTATACCAAAGTGATGCCAGGTTAGAGCACTTATCAAGATTCTGGGTTCCATCTCTATTTGGGGTGCATGTGGGAGGCAACAGATTGATGTCTCTCTCTCTCTCTCCCGGCTTGCCCTTTCTCTCTCTTGACAAATCAATAAAAAAGGTATTTAAAAAAAATACAACTTTTGACAAAGAAAAAACTGGGCAGAAACTAAGTTAGAATACAAAATAACACATATAGATATATATTAATCAGAGAACTACCAATACTTAGGCAGTTTTAGCTTAGATTCTAATTCAATAATTTAAGAGCAATAAAAGCATTGTGTACTGAAGGGGCTCTGTGACCAAAGACCCATGGAACTGGCAAAAAGCCAATCTCACAATATACTTGGAAGCTACCTTGCATTTATTAATACTAACAAGGAATCCTACCTAATAAGAGTAATATGCAAATTAAACGTCACTCCACTGCACCTACCAGCCACGCCCACCAGCCAATCAGAGTAAGTATGCAAATAAACCCAACCAAGATGGCTACAGCTACCCAGAGCAGGAGGGAGGTTTCAGTTTCCCAAGCAACAGAGGAAGCCAAGCTTTCCGCTTGCCCTTGCTGGCCTAGGCCTCCACTCAAGGATACAAAGTTTTCAATTATAGAAGGTAAACAAATCCAAACAGAAATGGTGGCAGCCATGGAGCTGGAAAGAATGGGAAACTAGAGTTGCCTCGAGCAAAGGAAGAAGCAAAGCTTTCAGCACACCCTGGCCTGCCCAGGCCTCCACTTAAAGATACAAACTTTCAATTATAGAAGATAAATACCAACAGAAGTGCCTGCCAGCCACAGAGTAATCCGGAGGCTTGGCTCCAGTTTCAATTGTAGAAGCTAAATAAATTCCAGACACCAAGGCCTCCTCTTGGGTCACTAGGGGACGGGGCTAGCCTGCAAACCACCACAGGCCCCTCGCTCAAGCCGCCCCGCACCCCAAGGGAACCCCCACCCTGAACTGGGACATTCTTCCGGGCAAACCAGCCAGCCCCCACCTATGCACCAGGCCTCTATCCTATCTAATAAAAGAGTAATATGCAGATTGACCATCATTCCAACACACAATATGCCTGTCCTTATGTGGACAAAGATCCAACCCCGATTTGGACACAAGATGGCCAGCAGGGAAGGGCAGTTGGGAGGCATCAGGCCTGCAAGGGAGGGCAGTTGGAGGCAATCAATACTGCAGGGGAGGGCAGTTAGGAGTGACCAGGCCAGCAGATAAGGTAAGTTGGAGGCAAACAGGCTGGTAGGGAGCACTTAGGCATCAATCAGGCTGGCAGTAGAGTAGTTAGGGAGTGATCAGGCTGGCAGGCAGAAGCAGTTAGGGGCAATCAGGAAGGAAGGCAGACGAGCAATTGGAAGCCAACAGTCCTGGATTGTGAGAGGGATGTCTCTCGAGGGTCCCAGATTGAAGAGGGTACAGGCTGGGCTGAGGGACACACTCCCACTCCATGCATAAATTTCGTGCATCAGGCCTCTAGTCCTTTATAAAACTAAAGATTCACAAACAGTGCAGAAGGGTTTCTTTTTCTCCACATCCACATCGACACTTGTTTTTGTTTTTTTTAAATTAAATTATTATCTATGTACATATCTTACCATTTCCCTCCCCACTCCCAATCATACCCTCTATCCCCAGAGTTTTGTGTCCATTTGTTGTACTTATATGCATGTATACAAGTCCTTCGGTTGATCTATTATCTCCCCCAGATCTCCCTATCCTCCAAGCTGTAATTTGACGGTCTGCTTGTTGCTTTACTGTCTCTATATCTATCTTTTGGTTCATCAGTTTATAAAGTTCTTAATTATCCATAAATGAGTGAGGTCATATGGTGTTTCTCTTTCATTGACTGGCTTATTTCACTCAGCAAGATGTTCTCCAATTCCATCCAGGTTGCTGCAAATGATGAGAACTCTTTCTTTTTTATGGCAGCATAGTATTCCATTGTGTAGATGTACCATGGTTTTTTTATCCAATCCTCTGCTGACGGGCACCTAGGCTGTTTCCAAATTCTAGCTATTGTAGATTGTGCTGCTGTGAACATAGGGGTGCATATATCCTTTCTGATTGGTGTTTCTAGTTTATTGGGATATAATCCTAGGAGTGGGATTACTGGGTCAAATGGGAGTTCCATTTTCAGTTTTTTTAGGAAACTCCATACTGTTCTCCACAGTGGTTGCACCAGTGCATTCCCACCATCAGTGCACGAGGGTTCCTTTTTCTCTGCAACCTCGCCAACACTTATTGTTTGTTAATTTGTTGCTTTTGGCAATTCTGACAGGTGTGAGATGGTACCATATTGTTGTTTTGATTTGCATCTCTCGGATAATTAGTGACTTTGAGCATGTTTTCATGTGCCTCTTGGCATTCCTTCTGTCTTCTTTGAAAATATTCTATTTAGGTCCATGGCCACATTTTTAATTGGATCATTCATCTTCCTTTATTTAGTTTTTAAATATATATATTTTATTGATATTTCAGAGAGGAGGAAGGGAGAGAGATAGAGAGCTAGAAACGTCGATTATAGAGAAACATCAACCAGCTACCTCTTGCACACCCCCAACCGGGATGTGCCCGCAACCAATGTACATGCCCTTGCCCAGAATTAAACCTGGGACCTTTCAGTCTGCAGAGGGACACTCTACCACTGAGCCAAACCAGCTTCGGCAATGCCTTTTATTTAGTTGTATAAGCTGTCTGTAGATGTTGGAGATTAAACCTTTCTCAGTGATAACATTTGCAAATATGCTCTCCCATACAGTAGGTTTTCTTGTTGTTTTGTTGAAGTTTCCTTTGCTGTGCAAAAGCTTTTTATTTTGATGTAGTCCCATTTGTTTATTTTCTCTTTAGCTTCCATTGCCCTAGGGTCGGTATCAGTGAAGAAGTTCTTTTGGCATATGTCTGAGATTTTCCTGCCCATGGATACCTCTAGTATTTTTATGGTTTCCTGTCTTATGCTTAAGTACTGTAACCATTTTGAGTTTATTTTTGTGTATGGTATAAGTTGGTGATCTAGTTTCATTCTTTTGTGTCCAATTTTCCCAACACCATTTACAAAAGTGACTGTCTTGACTCCATTGTATATTCGTGCCTCTTTTGTCAAATATTAATTGAGCAAAGTGATTTGAGTTGATATCTGGGTTCTTGATTCTTTTCCATTGATCTATAGGTCGGTTCTAGTGCCAGTTCCAGGCTATTTTGAGAACAGTGGCTTTGTAATACAGCTTGAAATCTGGTATTGAGATCCCTCCTACTTTACTCTTTTTTCTCAGGATTGCTGTGGATATTCGGAGTCTTTTGTTGTTCCAGATGAATTTTTGGAGAGTTCTTTTGGAGAGGTCTATAAAGTATGTCATTGGAATTTTAATGGGGAGTGCATTGAACCTGTATATTGCTTTGGGAAAAATGGACATTTTGATGATGTTGATTCTACCAATCCATGAACATGGATCCATCTGTTTACATCTTCTTTTATCTGTTTTTCAGTGTCGTGTAGTTTTCCGACTATAGGTCTTTTACCTCCTTAGTTAAGTTTATTCTTAGGTATCTTAATTTTTTTGGTGCGATGGTAAATGGGATTGCTCTTTTACTGTTTTTGTAAGTTCACCATTGGTGTATAGAAATGCCATAGATTTCTTGGTGTTAATTTTGTATCCTGCTACATTGCCAAATTCATTTATTAAGACAATTAGTTTTTTAATGGAGTCTTTTGAGTTTTTTATGTACAATATCATGTCATCTGCAAATAAAGATAACAACTTCTTTTCCAATTTGGATACTTTTTATTTCCTCTTCTTGTCTAAGTGCAATGGCTAATACTTCCAATATTATGTCAAACAGAAGTGTTGAGATTGGGCATCCCTGTCTTATTCCTGTTCTTAGAGGGAATGGTTTTCGTTTTTGCCCATTGAGTATGATGTTGGCTGTGGGTTTATCATATATAGCTTTTATGTTGAGGTATGATCCTTGTACTCCCACCATGTTGGGAGTTTTTATCAGAAAAGGGTGTTGGATTTTATCAAATGCTTTTTCAGCATCAATTGATATGACTATATGATTTTTATCTTTCAATTTGTTTATGTAATGTATCACATTTATTGATTTGCAGATATTATACCATCCTTACATTCCTGGAATAAATCCTACTTGGTCATGGTGTATGACCTTTCTGATGTGCTGCTGGAGCACATTTGCTAAAATTTTGTTTAGGATTTTGGCATTTATGTTCATGAGGGATATTGGCCTGGAATTCTCTTCCATTGTGTTGTGTTTATCTGGTATTCTTATTAGGGTGATGCTGGCTTCATAGAAGAAGCTTAGAAGTGTTCCTTCCTCTTGGATTTTTTGGAATAGTTTGAGGAGTATCGGTTTTAGTTCTTCCTTGAATATTTGGTAAAACTCTCCTGTGAAGACATCGGGCCTTGGGCTTTTGTTTGCTGGAAGTTTTTTAATGACTGTTTCAATTTCTTTCCAGGTCTCTTGTCTATTGAGATTTTTAGATTCTTCCTGATTGAGTTTTGGGAGCTTGTATTTTTCTAGAAATATGTCCATTTCCTCCAGGTTGTTCAGTTTGTTGGAATAGAGTTGTTCGTAGTATTTTGTAACAATCGTTTGTATTTCCGCGGGGTCTGTTGTTATTTTACCTCATTTGTTTCTGATTTTATTTATTTGAGTCCACTCGCTTT